TCATACACCGTTGAATTCGTAATAAAATTTCCAACAAAGTGGCATTCAAGCCTAGAAATGTAAAATTTTGACAATTTTTCGCAAAAAATTATGATGTTACCCCTTACCGAAAATGCGAAAAATGGCAAAATTTTTTTTTTGTGAAAATCCGTACAAAAGTGATTGGGATAGTTAGCCTTGGTAATTAGCTGCACAAATCAGTCATTCTTTTTGCTCTGTGATGCTTTTCGGGCAAGTTATGACTATAATCGCCAAAAAAGAATTCATGATTTTATAAAAAAAATCGGGTTTTAATTTTTAGCCCAAAAATATTCAGTTTTTTGTTCATAACTAAGAAAATAGTTGTCCAAACATAGAATGTCATACACCGTTGAATTCGTAATAAAATTTCCAACAAAGTGGCATTCAAGCCTAGAAATGTAAAATTTTGACAATTTTTCGCAAAAAATTATGATGTTACCCCTTACCGAAAATGCGAAAAATGGCGAAATTTTTTTTTTGTGAAAATCCGTACAAAAGTGATTGGGATAGTTAGCTGTGGTAATTAGCTGCACAAATCAGTCATTCTTTTTGCTCTGGGACGCTTTCGGGCAAGTTATGACTATAACCGCCAAAAAAGAATTCATGATTTTATAAAAAAAATCGGGTTTTAATTTTTAGCCCAAAAATATTCAGTTTTTTGTTTATAACTAAGAAAATAGTTGTCCAAATATAGAATGTCATACACCGTTGAATTCGTAATAAAATTTCCAACAAAGTGGCATTCAAGCCTAGAAATGTAAAATTTTGACAATTTTTCGCAAAAAATTATGATGTTACCCCTTACCGAAAATGCGAAAAATGGCGAAATTTTTTTTTTGTGAAAATCCGTACAAAAGTGATTGGGATAGTTAGCCTTGGTAATTAGCTGCACAAATCAGTCATTCTTTTTGCTCTGGGACGCTTTTCGGGCAAGTTATGACTATAACCGCCAAAAAAGAATTCATGATTTTATAAAAAAAATCGGGTTTTAATTTTTAGCCCAAAAATATTCAGTTTTTTGTTCATAACTAAGAAAATAGTTGTCCAAATATAGAATGTCATACACCGTTGAATTCGTAATAAAATTTCCAACAAAGTGGCATTCAAGCCTAGAAATGTAAAATTTTGACAATTTTTCGCAAAAAATTATGAAAATTACCGAAAATGCGAAAAATGGCGACATTTTTTTTTTGTGAAAATGAGTAGCAGATAGTTAGCATTTCGTTCTCGAATTATTTTCCGGCAAGTTATGACACGTAGGCCATATAATATTTCATATTTAAATAAATAATCGGGAGCCAAATGTTCACTATCAAATAATGCGCTTTTCGTCTACAACCAAACAGAAGGTTCTTAAAATAAAGGTATATCGACGATTCAATTTCTTTTCCATTCTCCTATTCTTACTTATTTTTCCTATTCCTTGAACAGTACTTCGTGAACAGTACTAACTACATTAATGGTTTCATTTCGTTGCCTTGCACATGACTGGACATAACGATATTAAAACTAAAACTATAAAGTGGTAAACGTAGTTTGTGGACTCGGTATCAGCAAGCGAAACCCTTTCCATCTGTTGCTAATACACCGCATTTCCCACTTGAGAGGGAGCTATTCAAATATTACTCATACGCCATGTTGTACGGAGAGAACAAAAAGCAATGGCCAGTTATTAGCTGGCAGTTCAGTTCAGTCCGCTTCACTTCGGTGCGATTTTGGTTTTGGTATTGGTATTGGTATTGGCTTCGGCTTCGGTTTTGGTTTCGGTTCGGCACCAAACTGGCCAACAAACAAATGACCGTTTTATAGCCGGCAATCAAACACAAGACCACAAATACTTAAACTTATGGATGTCTGTATATGGCAGAAGCCAGATATCGCCGCCATATGTATACACATACATATATTGGATGCCTGCCATCATCATCATCGTGGCTTGGCAGAAGTTCCAATTTTTCACAGCAGAACTCGACCACAAAACATATAAAAAACACATTCTTATTACAAATCGTGGCGAGTGGTGTGCCAAAAGCAAAAACAAAAAAAAAGAAAGAAAATAGGGAAAGAAAAAAGTATGTTTTCATTCCCATAAGTGAAAAGAGGCCGAAGGGCGGCCGAAAACCCACTGACGCACTTATTTTGCGCTTTGAATCCAATCACGTACCAATTTTCCAAATTTAACCTTTTGAAGCTTGAGTTGGAGGCTCTGGCTGCCAATAAAAACCATTTGCCAGAGTGATATTTATATGGCCGCGTCGATAAAAAGGAGAAAGAGGAAAAGAAGAAACGTATTTAAGAAGAGTGCAAGCGAAATGGAAGCGGATAAAGGATAACAAGAGTGGGGGCTAAAGACCGCAGCCCAAACGCAGCCCTTTGAACCGTTTCAATTGACCAAAGGCCAGGTCAGTTCCCCTACCCGCCGATTCAAAAAAAAAATTGAATATAATTCATAAGAATATTGAAAAACCAAGAAATCTTGATGAATGCTAGTTTTAGATAACAGATTATGAATCCTCAATATTTACTTAGTGAATATGTGGGCCCCAATATAGTTTTACTTAGCCTTGCCTTATTTTCCATATTCAGTTGATTTTCATATTCATTTCGTAGTTCTATCCAAGTCACTTTTTTGCCATCTCTGTATCCGACTGCACATAGGGAATTTACTTCAAGTACTAAGTATATCTGGCTTATTAGGGATACATTTCCCCGAGCACGCAATACAAAATGAAGCTCTTTCTCTCGGTGTACTACTTATGCTCTTTTCGATTCTCGGTATCTGTTTGCTTGGCTCCCATTTTGCCTGTAAGCGACACCATAAAATATTGAACGTGTTGAGCACACACACAAGTGCAGGGCCACTCACACTGCTGCACTTGTACTTGCACACACATACGTGGGGAGAAGTGGAAAAGTGGACGAGTCGCTGGGAGGGAAAACTCACTGACCTCGCCAATATTACCCACCCATCGATGACTTCGATTCTTGGGCTTCGAATGTTCCGCTGGAGGGCCGCGCTGTTGTTTTATTTTTACGCGGTGGCACTTTTGGCTTTTGTTGCCAACATCCTGTCTGACCCTGCCACGCCCCTTAGCCCTTTCTAGCCCCTTGCCGTCCGCCTCTTAAGCGAACTCAACTTTGACCCCCTGCGACCCCGTGGCGAGCAACGCTTCATTTTCTTTATTTCAGCTGGCAGCACGCGCATTACATTACATTACAACATGGCCGGAATGGGTCCGGCCGCTCCGGAGTCCATGTCCATGTCCATGTCCGTATCCGTATCCGCATTCGCATCCTTGTTCTGGGAAATGAGAGAGCGGGACGGTCGGTCGCTTTTCCGACTCGTATTTCGGCCATTCGTTGTTTGCCCATTTCTATTCGAGTGCGAGCGTGAGTGTCAAGTGAGTGTTTGAGTGCTCGGCTTATTCATGGCTAGTTGATTCGAGTGGAATGGATGCTGTATACTGGCTGTCCACTAAGTAATTGTCTGATGCGGGCTTTCGGGCCACAGAATATCCGAACCTTGATACCCGCCATTGTGCCCGGAATATATTCATTTAATATACTAAATCTGCGTGGCATTTATTCAAGGTGTAAATAGGTTGCACGTGATAAGTCATTTAATTTAAATTTAATGTTCAGATTAACATATTCTGCGATGCAATGTGTTAGACACAATGTACTTCCATTTATTTAAAATAACATTATTTTATTTTCCTGGAAACGAACTACTGGTTTTTCGCTTAAAGCCTTTTTGTCCGCGCAGTTTTCCGCCCTGTGGCTTTCTTTTCTTTCGGCTTTCGAGGATTTTCCGCAGCTTCTTCATACGGTTTGCTCGTTTTTTCGGTACAAATTGATGCCATCTGTTCGACGTTTAATGCCTCTGGGTTTTGGCCAGCTCCCGGGCCATTTGTCGTGCAACACTTTCAGCGCTTTTTAATGCAGTGGCTGCATAATTTTAACGCTCGTAAGTCGCCTGCATTATCCGGGCCATAAATCGGACACGACTTGGCCACGCCCACGTCCACGCCCACGCCCACTGCTCGCCGCCCCTGGGTTCTCCATGGATGCGGATGCGGTGGAGCAGTTAATTTTGGCCGCTGGGCAGCTCAATTCTCACACGATTGGCCCCGGCACACATCCGTATTAAACCGTATCCCTTCAGCCTTCAGCCCCACATATACATATATTTATTCCTACCTGCAAGCCCACTCACCTGACCCAAAAGCCACTTAAGAGCCATTCAAATTACGTTTCATTACGCTTATTGAGGGGGGCTCCAGTACCAAGCCTTTTTACGGACGGCAGATGATGCCGAAATTCGAGGAGACTCGTACTGAAAATACCGCGGAGGCACGCCAAAAAAACTCCAATTAAATCGAGCAAATATTTATTAATTTTTATACCAATTTCACAAAGTGTTCTTTAGCATGTTGCGTGTTATCAATAAGCTGTATAATATTTTAATCCATTTATTGGGTAAGCACAAGTCGAGCAGCAAAATCGAGTGCCTTCAAAGTTTGTGGCTTTGTTTTATGGCCTCGAACTTTTGAATTCAATTTGCGTTTGGGCAGCCAAAAGTTATTGATTTAATTCGTATCTGGGGAATGCTTAATCAAAAATACTCGGATATATGACGTGCAGTAACACCCTGTTTTTCCGACACTTTTACCATCGGACAATGTAAGGGAAAAGTTGATTGGCCATGCGTGTGCATGTGTGTGCTGCTCGTTAGCTCAACTCCGTGGAGATAGTTTTCCGACTTTCCCTGTTTCCCCATCGATTGGGAGCCCGGTATCTGCCTGCTGTATTCATTTTCTTACGGCCAAGTGGTCCGTGTAAAAGCTGTCAGTCGTCAAGCGATTGTGCTCGAACACTTTTGAAATTCTACTCAGATTTCGTTCGGAAGCCAACACATCAGCACATATACTCGTATATAATTTCCAATTTTATCTATATATTTTTGCATGTATTTGGCGTTAGAAATGAGTGATCCGAGGGTTAAGAAAAGAAGTTACAAGGCGAAAAATGAGAAGGCAATGGATGAGACAGAAAAAGAGGAAAACCGTCGTCGTCGCCATGTTTTGGGTCAGCTATCGCGGGCACCCGGAAAATGTCCTGTAGGCAACTGCGATCAAGTGGTGTTCCCATCGGGTCTACTGGTTCACCTGCTTCACAAGCACACCCACAATCCGAATACCAACGTGATCGTCCTCTATGACGAACATCCAATCCGAAGAACCTTCAATCCAGATAGTTTCGAATACGATAAACCACAGGCATTGACTTTAATCCTGTATGCTGGTACCCAGGGTAAGCCGCACACCCGACCATCTCGCCGGTACTTGAGTTTTTCCAATTGCGGTCTTCTTAACAATCGCCGTCGTTACGAGCATCATTTAGCCTTGGTCCTTATGATTTGCAAGACCTCGTGGTTCTCCATGCTGCCTGACAGAAAACACGGCCAGAAGCTGGAGGATAAGATTGGTTCACCGGAGAACACCATATATGTCCTCTGGCTGGTATGCCCGGCCACCTCAAGTCGAATGTTCTATACGCTAACTGTCTTTGATCGGTACTATATACAGTCGCGCAGTGTCATCCGGAAAGCAAGGAACTACGTGCATCCGCAGCATCCGAAGGAATTTCTCAATAAAGAGAACGATTACCTGTTGCTTCGCCATGAGGAGGCAATGGAGCTAATGAGTGCCGAGGGCGACGCAGAGAATCCGACACCGTACATTAACATGGAACTACTTGTGCAGGAGGAACCTAGGCTGATAGAGTTAGCCACAGCGACCTCCACACAGTTTCTGTATACTTACAAAGGACTGAGATCCAAAATGCCACGCAATAAATTGGAATTATATAGAAGTTCGAATGGGAAACTGTCTCTCAACCGAAAGCCCCTTTCGAATCCAATGATTCCAGGTACAATCATAAAATCTCCACTGGCATATTTTCCAGAATCGGGAAGTTTTATGCCCTTTGAAAGGGTCACGGATCGGCAATGGAAAAACTCCTTAAGGATATCCAGGCAAAGAACTAGGACAAAGGTTACAACTACCGAAGAATCAAGCGACAGTTCAGACAATCAACAATACTCCCTTCATAGTGACGTAAAAGTAGCGCCCAATAGAGATCGATACCAAGAAAAGCGCGCTAAAGTCAAGAGAGCCCAAGAAAAAGTCAAGGACGAAGGTCAACTAAAGCCTCTCGAGCTTGGTCCCGATCTCAGGGCTCCAAAAGTCAGTCGCACAGAAGGCCAACGTTCCAAGAAAAAGAGTCATAGCCGATACAAGGGTCAACTTGAAGACGAATTGGTAAAGCACGTAATTGCAGCCGAGCGGAAAAAGAGCAAGGCAAGGCAGCTATTGAAAAGCGTGGAAAGATATCTAGAAGCTTACCAAGAAAGTGATGAAGAAGATTCTTCAAGTAAACTCAAACATATTCTCAAAGAATTCGCTGAGGACAGATATTTGGGCGGCAAGGACTTAAGCCCTCAATCAGTCAACAGAAGAACAACATATATCGATTGCCAAAAAAAGCGCCACATGAAATCCAAATCCGAGTCCCCAGAAAGGCCGTCAGGATCACGCGAAAAGGCCGGATCTAGTCGAGAAGCATCGCGAAAATGCATGGAGGAATTCAAAGAGAGTTCCATTAGGGATCTAGAGGAATCGATAATGAATTTGCGAATACCAATCACCAATGAAGTATTGCAAACTGTTAAGGAAGCCGTGGTAAATTCAGTGAAGGACGCGGTAAGAAAGGTGGCCGAAGAAACGATAATCACTAAACTAGATGTAGAGTCTGAATTGCGACTGGGAAGAGAACAGGAACAAGCAAAAGAACCAAAACCAGAGACGAAAACTAAGAGCAAACCGGAAATGCAACCGCAAGTCCAAACTAAAGCGGAAACGGAAGCTGAAATTGAAACTGGACCGCCTCCGAAAAGGCCTACCAAAATCCCAGGAGTTACCGTCAACATTGAAACAGAGCTCGCATCCGATTGCGATTTGTATTCGGAAAGCAATTAAAATTGATTTTGAATCGCATTTGTTATTGAAAAAATTTTAAGTTCCTTTCAACCATTTTTTATTTTTATCGCAAAAATTTTACGCAACAAATTGTAAATCTTTCAGTACAATAAATGATCCGAATTCACCTAGCATACCAAATAAGATTTTTATAAGAGCAGAACGTTGCTCTCGTTGTTTTTATTGCCATTATTTAAATTCCAGTTTCGTTTCATAGTCGCCACATAAAAATGGTCAAATCCTGTGGAAAGTCTGTGTGTGCGATAAAGTGGGAGTTTGCGGACGGTTTTTTAGTGAGGCAACCAAACCATTGCGGTTATCATCGCACGTTGCACTCAGCAGGAGATTTCATTCCATTCCGGTTATTTAAAATATAAAGATTTGAATTTAAAAAGCTTGCAAATGCGGTGCACGGATAACAGGTGAAGGTGTGTGCAAAAGCGATTTAATAATGCACCAATAGTTCAGTCTGACATTCGTTTAAGCTGTTGCAGGAAGTACAAAACCCGAGTGCTTACTAAAACTAGCAAGAATTTGAATGTTATTCAAAACAAACTTTGTTATCAAACTGTTACTAGAAACAATTAAGGTTTTTAATTCAGATTTGCAACGAAGGATGCTGAAAAAAACGATAAAAATGCCGGTCGTCAAAAGAGAAGATAAAAGTACAGTCCCGCCAAACTGCAGGCGTTTTCTGTCAAACTGACAGTCGGCTGAAAGGAGAGAAAGAGGGCGAGATAGCCGCCAAGAACGAGAGGGATAGAGCGAGGTGAGAAAATCACTGAATGAATCTCATCCGAGAGTTTTCGCACTTGAAAGCGGCCGGCAAACAAAACAAGGACAGCAGGAAGTGGAAGTGGGCGGAAAGGGTGAAAGGGTAAAAAGGTGAAAGGGCAGCGCGGCCTGTCCAGAGTTGCCTGCAACTGAAATGTCCGGCGAACAATGCAAAAAAAAAAAAAAAAATTAACACACAAAAAATAGGACCAGACTCGGAAAGGTGAAAAATAAGAATCGCCGGCAACACAAATAAAATGCGAAAATGCTGGGCGACAAGAACAACAAACATACAACAACGACATCAACGGTGGAAATCTTCTGCTCTGCGGCAGTGGAAAACTTTTGAATAATTTATCTTGCGTTGAAAGGACGTTTTCATTAAAATTCGCCAACGTATTTAAAGTGCGAGATAACTCCCAGAGTGGCGATTATTCAAGTGAGTTCATTTGCCTGCTAGGAATGCTAAATGCGGAGGTAACTCCACGTCGAGGAGCACATACATATGTATATATATACTTACATATATAGGCGTTTATAGCTGCCGAAAAAAATGTGTTTTACTGACAACCGAAATCACTTGTACCCGCATTTTCTACATTATTTTGGCCAACCGACACATGCTACTTGGTAATTGTTTTATTTAAAACGAGATAATAAATCAACAATAACATTTTATGAAATGTGAGAGAGAGTTTCTCTTAGCGATAACAATACCACCCATGATGATAAAATGGCTGAAAATTATAAAATAACATTAAATGATTTTAAACATTTCTATACTTTGTATTTTTGTAATATGTACTCCTAAACTCGACCAAAAAAAGGTCGTTGCCGAAACTGCAAAGGGCATGTAGTACGAAAACAAATGAAGAGCGAGGTTTTCATTGGAAAATTGTTTTACATTTGAATTTAATTAACACTTTTTGTGTATGGTTCTGTACATTTTTTACCCTATGTATGTAAATATGAGTTTTTTAATTGGCCTACACCGTGTTATTTTAATGCGCTTTCCCTGTTCGACACATCTTTGCCATTGGCTATAGGGTTTTGTGTTTTCCATAATAATGAAACACAAAAGATCAAAAATTAAATCATAATTGTACTTTGTGAATTTCATACTTAAAAAAGCTTTAATTCAACATTATATTTTATTATAACCGACTTATTGTGAAAATTAGCCCTCTAAATCAAGTCGAACTTCTTCCCAGACCATTTTACTCTTTAGCTCTTTTGTATCTGGCAAATTAGTCAAAAGCGAGGCAGCAAAAAAAAACAAATTTCCTGTCAGAAACAGATGCAGCTGAAAATCAGCTAATACCAGGCAAAACAAAGGGAAACTTATTTCGGTGAGGGGAATCTTTTACAAAACTCTCCACTCCGCTATTTTCCAAACTATTACACTTAATAATGGAAATATCGGATTTTTAAATAATTCATAAATGTGTAAGTTCGTTTGGTTTATAAACGCTAGCTCTCCTGTTGCGCTTTGTTTTTTTCGGAGGCTATTTGTTAACTGAAATACGGCGCTTTCGCTGCTGCATATCTCGCGTAAATATCGCAGAATTTACATGTGCTGTGCTTATTCAGGAAAAGTGGGTGGCGATGGGCGCATTTACGTTGGCTACAAACTGCACTGGGACTGGCAATTTTCTTGCGTGTCCCCACCGCAGCGCCCTGCCATTTACATTTTATTCCGCTCCTGGGCAGCGTCGTTTCATCGCGCAATTTCCGCACAAGTGTTGGCAATATAAAAATAGCGACAAAATATAAAAGTAATTTATGTTCGCCTTTTTCCATATCATTTCTATATGCATGAGTTCGGGCCACTCACTTCAGCTGGGTAGTTTATGAAAATGTATGGTACACCAACCAGCCAACCAGCCAACCAACCAACCAACTCCCGCTGCCGGCTCATCCTTTTTGTTATAGATGAAATATGCATGTTGATGCGCTCGTTTGTATGCGCCAAACTGCATTTAATTTATTAAAATAAATATTTTGCAGTGTTGGATAACGGTGTCTGAGTTATGTCAACGACGATAAAGCACCATGCGGATATACTCGTATTTTGCTTGAGCGTTATGCGAAAATACTTAGCCTTGCTGTAGTTGCCTATAAAACCAATTCTTTCGTAGTGTTGAACAACGGTGTATGAGGCGCCTTAAAGTGACTGAATCACACCTTTTGACAAGTCTGTGAACAGTGTCCGAATTGTGTTAGTAATGGTAAAACACCAGATGCTTTGTCCATAATTGATGACAAGCCTTGGTCGTCGCTTTCAATGTGATTAACCAATTGCCGCGTTGAAATTTACATGAAGCGAAACCGAAATTAAATATGTTTAGCCCGAAATCACATTTCATTATAGAGCGACGATTGCATAATAATGTGGTCAGCCGCAAATAGCAGCCATTTTGAGAGTCACCCAGCAACCAAACCGCCCACCTGGATAGCTACCCACCGCTTTTTGTTGCTGTCAAAACGCATTCCAAAATACTCATGAATATATCAGCATGAGCATTTGCCAGATTCATTTGACAGGATGTGGCAGGTGGATCTTTGTTAGTACACCCCGAAAGCAAATATAAATGCATATTGTAGCTGAGCATGTATTTGCGTAATCGATTTCTAGTTTTTCATAGCTGAAAGCAAAAATGCCAGCGTACAAAACGAAAACTATAAAAGCAGTATAAAACAGATATTTGTATTTAATGGGTAAAATATTTATTAACTTATTTTTAGCTAAGCTACCAGAAACTTTTTTCACCCAAACTATTGCCCAAAACATGAGTTTCATTGCTAACTTTGCAAAAATAATTAGGATGTCCCTTTTGGCTTTGTTCAAATATTTCCGTGCCAAATTGTCAACTAAAATGATACACAATTTGTGCTATTAAATGGCCAAGCGGCATATTTTTTTATTGTTCATCAAGTATGCAGAAAGGAAGAAAGAGAGAGACGAAGAGATAGAGAGAGACAATAATGGGCCAAGGGAATGGGAATGGAGGAGCAATTCAGAAAGTTAACAAATAAAATTATGCAAACGTCAACGAGAAAAAATTCAAATAAAAAAATAAAGGGACAGGGCACAAACAAATTTGCACGACAAGCTAAGGGAAAAAAAATCTGACTCCGTAATATGCCAAAACTGTGTTCATAGTGTAAAAACGTCTATTTACATAGTCATGCATCATGGCAGAGAGAGAGAGAGACAGCGAGAGAGAGAGAGAGAGAGGGACGGAGATATGGGGCAAGGAAGAGAGCCACACATAAGGCACGTAAGAGAAGGCGGCGAGAGACAGGTACAAATGCTTTGTAGGGAACTACAAAAAAAAATTAAAATATCTATATGGAAAAGTTCATAAATTTTCAAACACCACGCAAGCTGAAAAACCCAGGAAACGGCGGAAGGAGAAAGAGAGAGGGAGAGGGAGGAATGGGTGAAAGAGACGCAGCTCACAGGGGGACACAGATTGCGGCAAACTATTTGCAGCAGAGCAAAAGTGAAATGCAAATAAATCCCCAAATGCCAGCCCAGCCCAGTCGCAAGCACATGCAACACTAAACAACAGGCACGTTCGTCTTTAGCACAGCTCGAAAGTTTCCTTCTTTTTTTTCTGTATCCTACCTCACCACCCAGCGATTTTCCACCCATTTTCCCGCCTCGTTTGCCGGCTGAGAGATAGCCAAAAAACTACTCGCACACATATGTATGCAAAATATGCCCACCTACACAAAAACTACCAAAAAAAAGAAAATAACAGACAGGCAGACAAAAAAGAAAACTTTGAATAATATCTGGACACATTTTTGCCACAAATTTTGCTACAAATCGTTGGCCAGCAGAGTGCGTGTACACCATGACTTTTGCCCATTTGCAAGTAAGCACTCGCAACTCCAGATTAATACGATTTTAATGTAGCCCACTTTTTGCGTTCCGCTGGGGAGTGAACTAGATTTTGCCCTCGCAAAGTATATAACATTTAAATTTGCAGCCATTAAAGGCAGCTTTAGGTTGCCCTAGAAAAGTCCAGAGATAGTACCGTATTACTTTATTTGGTGACTAAATATGAAATTTATAAGTGTATTTCAAATTGAGCTGTACTCTGCAATCTGTCAAAAACATACCATAAAATTGCTTCGCTCCAGACTGACCTAATTTCAATGATAGTCAGCCCTGCCAGTCCCCTGAGACTCACCAGGATCAAAGGTTCCTCGCCTGTGGGTCAC